GCTTCACAGGTATTTGGGCAGGTATGCGAACTGTTAGGTATTTTGATGGGAAAACTTATGAATGGGTTGGTATAAGCCGGCAGCCTAATATTATGGGCAAAGTAAGTTTACTTGCTACATTTTCATATTTGTGCTTTTTTTCCTTTTTAAGTTGCTGCTGTTGTTTACATACAAAGCTAACTCGTGCCTGATTTTGCTATTCTTTTTCTCTTATATTCTGTTGCAAAGGAGTTATTCGTTTATTACAGTATAATTCTTGATTTTTGTCTTTTTAAAAAGTAAATTATTGCTTCCTTCCTCTTTTTCCACAGGTGAAAAGAACATTGGGGCAATTTACACCTTCGAGGTGGGATAAAGATGAGTGGCACCCACTTCTTGGCCCGTTTCGATTTATTCAAGTTCTCAGTCTCTGCATTATTTTCTTAACTGTGGAACTCAACACCTTCTTTCTCAAATTCTGCCTTTGGATTCCTCCTAGAAACCCACTCATCGTTTATAGGTTAATTTTGTGGTGGCTTATAGCGATACCCACAATTCGCGAGTACAATTCGTACTTGCAAGACAGGTATTTTCTAATTCTAATTCTCCCATGCCCAAAGATAATTTTAATGCGAATGTTTTATTTTGAACTAGCTTTTATAATTTTTTCTTATCTTTTTTACTTTACCGAATGATTATTTTCAGAAAACCGGTGAAGAAAGTCGGAGCATTTTGCTGGCTTTCTCTTGCTATCTGCATTGTTGAGCTCCTTATTTGTATTAAGTTTGGACACGGTGAGTATTTGTTTTAAGTCCGAACATTTAATCGACTTTTTTTATTATTTTATTTTAGAGAAATTACTAAAATATTTGTACGGTTTTGCAGGATTATTCCCTATTTCAATGCCCAGTTGGTTGGTCGTGTTTTGGACGTGTGCTGGGCTTGGGATAGTGAGTTTCTTGGTTGTGTGGTCATGGCAACTGCACAGATCACTAAAGAGAAAGCTGCAATAGGTTTTNTCGTGATTCTACATTTTTATATCGTGTTACTGTTGCTATTATATTTTTGGGTAATTAACGTCATTTGTGTAAATACCCTCATTCGTGATTTTGTACATGTTTTACTCTTTGTAGGGTTAGATCTCTCATATAAGGTTTAGATAAAACCTTTAGTTCTTTCGAATTCGGTTAGAAGAAGAGAGGAAAATGAGAGCTCATTTGTTAGCACAAATCTGGCAAATTTTGCCCCCTTTTTTTCCATACTATAATTTATCATGTATTGTACACACCAAATTTTACAAGGATGTCATGTCACACACCCCCTTTATTTAACAAACTTTGTTATATTCAAAATCATTCTCTAGTAGTGATAAGAAAATTATTATCGTGAGAGATTTTATACGTGCTTGTATTTCCACGTAGTTTTTCCTCTCACGAGCTCGTCATATTTGTGTTCGCCTTTTATTCGGAGCAGGTGAGTGTGGGTAGTTTGCAGGGCCCGATTTCCATTCGGGCCATCATGTTCTTCACATAAGGATTCGACTATATCTGATGTCCCACATTCTCTTCTGTACTCTAATGCTATATGGGCTAGCTGATGATTCTCCAGAAATTCTTCAGGGATTGTCTGAAATTTGAGTCATTGTAGAGGTTTTG